TTCATTGTTTTATCAGTATTTAATTCGCATAGAAAACACGTTAATAAAAATTTCCGGTATCGATCAAGCTAATATGGATAAGCAATGGAAAATAAATCGACAACAGTGAGAAGATTAAAATGGTTTATGATGACAATCGGAGTTCAAGGCCGGGAATTGAAAAAATTAACCAAAGCGAATGTCTTGATAATATATTTTTTTAGATTTGTTTTAATCGAAATTATGTTCATTACGATGTGTTGTGTTTTTATAATTCATCTTGTATTGATAGTTTTTTTCTTTAATTATTAAAATACGTACCTAATTCACATGTTCAAATGGAAGTACATGCACGACCCATTTTCGTATTGTCATATTACCGACTTTTATGAATCATGAACTATTGTGTTCATGTTACTTCTACCATATGAACACAAGTGTTATTTCTTAAGCTTGATACCAAATCTTTATATTTGTGTAAGTGTTTGCACCCGGTGTTCATAGCGTTGGGATTATGTGTTCATATATTTTATACGATATGAACAAGGGTGAACACGATATGAACAAGAGGTGAACATGATATGAACAAGGGGTGAACCTTAAACGGTGTGGATGCAATGCATGTATAAAAATCCAATTGACAAATGATCGCTTCTGAATGTGTTTATAATGAAGAAACTTGTTCACAAGTTGTTCATATCGTGTTCATATATGTTTTTTTTTTCTTTCGTGTAGCAGTTATTCTTATTATGTTCATATTGTGTTCATAAATGTTATGCAGTCCAAGTACATATATATGTCAAATTTTTGTTCGTATTTGACACAATGGTTAATATATTTATAGTTGTGTTCATATGGTTCTTACATTAACAAAAATAAATTAACAAAAAAATCATAGAATTTTTTATTTTGTAACTCCCAATAAAAAAAAATAAGTTTTTATCATAATTAATCACAACCGTTTATTGAAAAATTGGATGATCAAGATCGGTTAACAAAGTTAACACAAAAACTTTGGTTAACATTTGAACTTGACCCTATATATATATGTATATATATAGGGAAAGGTTCAAACGAGAACCCCTGTGATTTACGAGAATGCGAGAACAACYCAAYAACCAYRTAYTGTGATAAAAAATAAAATTAAAAGATTTTTAAAACTAAAATTGAAATTTAAAAAGATTCA